TTTGAACTGCTGACCTTGTAGTTAGCAGCTCTCTATGCCACAGCCAGGAAAACCCTATGGGGTAGTTCTACGCGGTCACACATAAGGATCCCCGTGAGTCGGATGCTGCCAGCGTGTCAATTATACCACAATAAAACAGATAGTAAAATTTAAAAGGTCAAGGGTTCTAGGTTTGAATCCCGTGTGGGGTGTTGATGTGCGGGTTGACCCACCTAGAATCCTCTCACTGGTCTATAGGGCTGGTTTCCTGGGGTTCACTAGTGCCAGTGAGGATCCCAGGCCCTCTGAGGACCTACACTGAAGAGACTCACTCTCTGATTCTGTCTCTCAGCACCTGGAGGCAGGCTCCCTTCTCCTCCTCCAAGGCCAGAAGTTTGTCTGGCACTGTCACTCAGAGAGCACGGTGCCTGGATGACATCATGGAGAAGGCAGCCTCGCCAAACTGGTTTGCCAAACAGGTGGCCAGCCCCACTCCGGAGGCCACAGGTTATGCCTTTGGGGGCCTCCTGTCCTGCTCGGAATTGTTGCCTCGTACGCCCTGGAGAACTTGAAGCTTCTGGATCCAGAAACTCTACCAAGAACCAGTTCTTCTTCTGTAAGGACCCTGACTGTTCCTCAGGCTTGCTTCCCTTCCTTCGCTTCTGCTGTTTCCTTTTCCAATTTGCCTTTTCCTGTCCTCTCAGTCTGGCCAGCCCCAGGGCGTGAGTCCCGCCCACCCCCTCTTCCTCACATACACACCCCAGGGAGCATCCCCACACAACTAGTAAGGGGGTGGTTGGGTCTTTAAAAGATCTGCAGTGAAGCATCTATGTCTCCTCCCTGACCTTGGTTTTAGCAGCCTAGTGCGGCTTTAACTGCAATACCCCAAAAGGGGGATGTTAAGTGACAGAAGTTGATTTCTTCACGGTTTAGGAGGCGAGAAGGCCGAATTCCGGGTGCCCTCTCTCTGCTGTCTCTGGAAGATCTCCGTCTCTGCAGGCCTGGCATTCCTGATTCCTTGACAAACTCCGCATGGTCTGTCTTGTCCCCTCTGCCTAATCGGCTCTTTTGAAAATACCTCACATGAGTAGGTTTGGAAGACACACCTTCTTCCCAAATGCGATTGCATCCACAGGAATGTTGTTGTTGTGTCGCGTCTGGCTCCACGTTTCCTCTATGACCAGAGTCGCGGTTCCACAGGGATTGCTAAGCTATCACCTTTATGGTGGTGCAGTGGCGAAGGGCCCAAAGGTCAGCAACTCAAGCCCACCAGCTGCCCCATGGGAGGAAGATGTGGCCATCTGCTTCTGTACAATTACGGCCTTGGAGGCCGGTGGGACCGTCCCACCCTTTCCTGGCCAGTGGCTATGGAGGGGAATGGACTGGGCAGCACCGGGTTTGATTGGATGGCTCTTCATGAAGAGCGCCGGGTCTTCTTGACCACAGCGCAGCTGGTTGGTTCCAGCCACCGGCCTCTCAGCGAGCAGTGGAGTGTGCCGCCACCATGCCACCAGGCACTAGGATTTCACAACATCTCCTTTTTGGGTGGAGGAGGCACAATTCCATCTTTCACACCCCCTCTTCCTACTCAGCTATGAGACCCTGGTAGAAGTCCTAAGGACCTAAGGACCTCAGAGCTACTTGCGGGCACACTACTCATGGAAGTCTTGGGATTGTATGTTGTTCACTGGGGTGGGGGGGGGCGCGTGAGGGAGTCTAAGGGCTTAAGCACTACTCCACCACCGTGCAGATGAGGAAATCAGGGTTCTGAGAAGACCAAGGCTGACCTGGGGTGGAGCCAGGACTAAGACCACCCCCACCCCCCTCCTCCTAGTCTCCCAACCACAGAGCTGGGCTTTTCACTACAGGGCTCTGGTAATGGGGAGGGGAAGCCAGGTGACATACGGATCGGATCGGTACCACTTGTTTGGTGAAATGCTCGCTCTTCAACTCACATTGCTCTGCGTCGTGTGGCTCTGCTCGTCCAAGGTTGGGCCTGGAGGGACCTGGCGGCACCTATCCTTGGAAGGGCCTGAAGTGGGCCAGGGTCACCTCCTAATTTCACAGGGGGGCAGACTGGGGCCCAGGTCTCCACAGTGCCTACAGCGTACCTTCTCACACTCGCCTGGCATTTGGCATCCTTCAGAGATGAGACTACCCACTTCCTCTCCATTTCCTGTCCTGCCCACAGCGGTCCTCTCCTTTTCACACTTTGAAGCCTCCTGAGTTTCATCTACACTGTTCCCCTGTCTCCACCGCCCTTCCAGGCCTCGTCCTGTCTGCTCTGTGGGGTGGATTTCATCTCTTTGTCGCTCCCCAAGGAGCTTCTCCTCTGAGCAGCTGTTCGGGAGTCCCTCACCAAAGAGGCAGCAAGGTAGAGGGAAGGGACTTCAGCATCTGACAGAATTCCACTCACGGTTCAGGGCCTCTGCGTCAGCCCTGTCCAGTCTGGGTAATATCTGTCTTGTGCAGTGGTCTACTCCGACTACAGCAGTCCCAACCAGGCCTTCCTCAGGGGATGCTGACTGTCAGCTGGCTGTCCTCTCCCCAGCCCCAGGCTGCCCTTTGATCTCTGCACCACTACTACTGCTGCTGCTACCACCACCTCCACCGCTGGCCCCACCTCTTGCCCGGAAGGAAGGAAGGAAGTAGGCTAATAGGCCTGGGAAAATGGCCTCCCCACAAAGGTTTGGAGGCGGGACGAGACGCAGGTATCCTCTCAGGACAGTAAGTCCCAGCATGCAGAAATTGACTTGCGTGATTCCACCCAACCTGTCCAAGGCAGGGTAGCACATAGCAGACAAGCCACTCCCTTGGGGCCAACAGGATCTACGCCAGCAGGTCCTGAGAACCAGAGACGACGGCCCGCGACGCCCAAAGAATCCAAAGGATTCTCAAGGTTTGAAGCAGGATGGAGATTTTGAAGACAGAGTTTTGAAGAGCACAGACCCTGGTGCTGGAGAATGAGAGAGGAGGAGAGGCCCCAACTGAGCTTGCCCAGAGAAAAGAGGCCTCGAGTTATATCCTCCAAATTGGACTGTTGCACCCCGCCTCTCCCATGACCTTGGCAGCACATCCCTCTCCACACCCACCCTGGTTTTCCCTTGTGTAAAACAGGACCACTTGCCAGGTGTGGACTAGGAGCCCTGAGCTCCAAGGGAGAAAGATTGAGTTTTCTACTGCCGTCAACAGTTACAGTCTTAGAAACCCACAGTGGGTCACTATGGGTCAGCAGCGAATCAATGGCAGTGAGTTTGATTTTTTTTGGTCAGGGTGGATTGAGTACGAAATGAAGAGAGACGTGGAATAGCGTCTGGCTCAGAGTGGATGCTGAGCCTCTTTCTAGATAGGGAGTCACGGAGGATCTGGACAGCGGAGTGAAGACACACGGACACCTCCACATCACGGTGGGGCAGTTAAAGGCACAGGTTAAAAGCACGGGACTCGGAAAGCTGCATCTGAATTGCAGCTGCACTGTCAGCTGTTGTCCTGATCAGGAAAATGGGGCAATTCTGGTTTCCATCCCTTGGTCAAACCAAAACCACGACCGCTGCCATAGATTTGATTTTGACTCATAGTGACCTTGAAGAGATTGGGTTTCCGAGTCTGTCAATGTTTACAGGAGCAGAGAGAAGAGAGCCAGGTGGTGGGTTTGAACTGCCAACCTTGCCTTTAGCAGTCCAGCACTTACTGGACAGCACCACCAAGGAGCTATGTGGTTGCTATGATTATAATTCTGGTACATAAAACTCACTGCCTGCCAGTAGACTGACTTAAAAAGACCCTGTAGGACATAATCGGACTGCCACCTAAGAGTTTCGCCGAAGCAGACTGCTACATCTTTCTCCTGCGGAACAGTGAAGTTTGGATGGCCTTTGGTTGGCCACCATGTGTTTAAACCGCTGTACCCCAACCCTTCTTCTGGTACATTAAAAACAAATAAACAAAAACAACCTCACTGCCTCTGAGTCGATTCCAGCTCATGGTGACCCTATAGCACAGGGTAGGATTGTCTCTGTGGGCTTCTGAGGGGCTAAATCTTTCCCGGAACAAGCTTTATCTGTCTCCAGCAGGGTGGGTGGTGGGTTCGAACTGCTGACCTTTCAGTTACCAACCCACTTCGTAACGCACTAGGCCACCAGGGCAAATAAAAATGAAATGAGTTGGTATTTTTATTGTTTTTATTTGATAGGACTCCAGACGCCATCCTCCCAGAATACTGCATCTTGTCTCCATGGATACTACAGGCGACCCCAGGCCTTAGAGAACGGGAGATGGAGTAGCTCTCCCCTGTGGGGCAGGGAACCGGCGCAGGTCCGCTCTCTCTGGGGGCTAATTTCCTCTTCTCTGGGGGCTAATTTCCATATCCTCCCACGCTCCAAGCAGCAAACCCTATAGAGATGGTTAAAAGAGATGCACTCCGCGCAAACGAAGTATCTGTGCAAAGGTGTACGGGTTGGAGAGGGCGCTGTGTAGCCAGTCCTCTGCACCTCGATGGCCCTGGCACTCCAGCACCCGGTGGAGATGCTGCCATACCCTGTCCCTGCTCGGAGGTGGCCCTGGACCAGGTGTCCGGCCAGCGGCTTGCGGCGTTTGAACACCGGCGCTGACGTGAGAGGGGCGGAGCCGAGGGAGGGAGGGGACGTGGTCTCTGGAACAAAGACGATGGCATGGAAGGGTTGTCCTGGACGCTCTGAGGCTCGGACGACCCCGGGTCGCCTATCCCGGGTCCGGGTACCGCCCTCCACTTTGGGACAAACGCTGTGCCCCCTTTTCGGAGCGCACTGAACCCGCCCGGAGCACAGCAGCAGCGGTCCCGAGACTTAGAATCCTCCCCAACGACCCGCAAGGGGGCGGGAGCTTCCTTCGGGGGCGGGGCCGTCAAATTGAATTCCTCCAATAGAGCGTGGGAGTGGGCGGGACCCTCCCAACGATTGGCTGGAGTGGCGGCGCGGGGCGGAGCCGGCGAGGCGGCTAACGCGGCTAGACGGGCGGCGCTCGCAGAGTCCTGGGGACGTTGCTGAGCGGGCCTGGGCTCCCGCCTGTCCGCCGCCCGCGTGCATTTGTCCGATCCCAAGCGAGCTAACCCACGACCGCGCCGGACTGAGAGGTGGGTGTGAGGGCCTCGGGGCAGCAACAGGACCCCCGACGAGTCAGGGGGTGGAAACTGGATTTCTGGACAGGTCTTCTGGGACTCCCAGACCTGGGAGCTCCCTGGGCTCTAAGCCACGGAATAAAGTTCTGAGACCGCGGGGGAGGACGCCCACGAGCCTCCACAATTCCTCGGGGCGCGCGTCTGGGACAGATGCCTTGACCAAGTTCCCACAGACCCGTAAGGTGTCCAAGGACTCCAGAGGCAGGGACAGGGAGCCATGGAACAGGAAGGGGGCAGCCCTGGGAATCTCTGATTAAGAAGAGACTTACTACAGTCCCCTAGACACTCGAGATTAAGCCATTTAGAGGTCCCTGCGCTTCTGAAGATGTGAAAGACTCGGGGTCCAAGGACCACTGAGCAACAAGCTTGCCCCCCCCTCCTCGACAGAGTGGGTAGGTAAGAGGCAAGGACCCCAGGGGACAAGGTGGCCGATACCTGATGGAAGTGGAAGGATTAATCAGTAACTTGCCAGCTGTGTGGGTCGGGAGTCCCATTCACCCAATGGAATGACTTGTCAAGTGATCATTCTCAATGGGGGTGACTGAGGGATGAGTCAACAAGAATGGGGGCCATCCTGGGGCTATTTCCGTCACCAGATATTACAGATATTAGCTAAGTATCTACAATGTACTAGGTTATGCCTCCCCCCCCAATTCTGGAATGACATGAAGGCTTTGGGAGGGAGGAGGGAAGCGTGCTGGGAACTGGCCAGGATCCAGGGGTCCATTTTGGAGGGTAGCGATGAGGCACAAGGGGGTGTCCTAGGCCCTGGGTGCTCTTTGGCATGGGGCCTTCACTAACCAGAGTGTCCAAGGTTTCAATTAAAGCTTTTTGTGTTTTTTCTCTCTCCATGTTACAAATCCCTGACTCTCTCTAAGCCTCTCACTTTGCTTGTCTGAAGTCTGGGGATTAGACCAGTCAGCTTGGATTGGATTCCGAGTGAACTGTCAGGTGCTGGGTGCCTGGACACCTGGCTTTATGGGCAGGATGGTTGGGGCATGCTTACGGGGCGGGGTGGGGGTGGGCGTGCACGGGGGTGCGGGGGTTGTGAGCAGAGGGCTGGTGCCAAGAATGAGAAATGGCTTAAGCCACCTGGGGACATGGGAATGGCAACTGCAGCAGAGAATTTGGCATGGACTCTGCGTTCAGGCTGGAGGGGGGGGGGCAGGCCCAAAGGATGGGTGGTGGGACAAGAAAACTGTAAAGACTGGCGGGCACCCCCTGCTGGTGAGCTTGGCTGGGGTGGGTCTTCTAAGGCCCCAATTTCTCAGTCCTTGGCCTCATTTGATGCTTAGGGTGAAGGGCCTGTCAGGCAACACAGACTGGTGGCAAGGACAGCCCCCATACTCCCCTACACACACACACACACACACACACACACACACACACGATTGGTTTGGTGGGTTTTCTGGCAAACCACACTAGGGCAGAAGGCAACGGCCAGCCAGAAGCCACACCATGGTAGCAAAGATGAGATGGCAATGGATGTGGATGCCCATAGGTCAGAAAGGGAAACTGAGGCATAGGACACAAATGCGTGTGACTTCTCGAGGCCCCAGCAGGCCTGACCCATGCCTGTCTCTACAGAGCCCACTAAGTCGGCCACACCTGCTGCAGGCACTGGTGGTCTCACCAGAAGGGACAGACGGAGACAAGAGCCAGTGAGATATGGCGGACGATGCACTGGCTGGGCTGGATGAGGGAGCCCTTCGGAAGCTGGTAAGTGGCCCTGTCTTGCCCACTGTGGGGAAAGCCACGCCAAGCCAGCGAGGTAAAGCCCGTCCAGGTGACCTCAGTTGATAGGAGGAGGTGACGGGGCTAGGAGAGGGGGAAGGGAGCCAGTTCTGCCTGGCTGATGCAGAGGCCCCCATGGTATGTGCCTGCCTGTGCCAGGTGCTGAGCCCCGGTGCCTCCTGGCCCCCTGCGGCCACTACCTGTTTAAACAGTAACTGCTAGGGACCAGCCTAGGTGCCAGGGATCCCACATGAGCCCATGTGTAGCACACATGGGGAGGCTGGAGTTGCCTCTCCAGAGCAGTGGTCCATACAATGAGAAAGGCAGAGGCAAGGATAAAAATGGCGGAGCAGAGCACAGGGCAGGGAAACCACCTGCTCTAGGGCAGCACGAGGAAGAGGCTGCAGCAGGACCCAGCCCCAGGAACGTTACGCTTTGGGCAATAAAGCCTAGGCCATAAATACAGTGGCAGGATGTGGTGTGACTGAGCCAGCTGGGCCTGTGGAGCTCCCAAGCTAGCCAGGACAGAGCCATGCTGGGGAGGGACAGGGAGCCAGAGACAAGCCCTGGGGACCCTTCAGAGCTCGGTGACCTCAAGCCTGTAATTTCCCCCACGCTGGTCCTCAGTTTATTATAATGGGTCTGGGCACAATAGTTAGGCTCTAGAAGCCTCAGTGCCTTGGTGGGTTTCACAAAACCACCAGCCACTCCTCGGGAGAAAGACGAGGCTCTCTACTCCCGTAGTGTTAGTCTCAGAAACCCCGAGGGGCAGTGGCACCCTGTCCTATAAAGTCAGAATCCACTCTGATGGCAAGGAGTGTGGAGTTTTGGAGGGCTGGGTCCAGGTTCTTAGAGGAGGAAGGATGGATCCACCCTTTCCCTAGCTTCTTCCTCTCTGGGTGGACCAAACAGAAGGGTGGGCCAACAGGTCTGTTTTCCCCATTAGCTATAGTTCAGGAAGCCCAGTGCCTCGATGGGTGGACACTCTCCCAATTGTGGAGCCTTAGCCTGGTCCCTTGTGGCTGGCCACAGTGGATGCCCTGTATATCCCCATGCACGGAAAGACTGTGGGGTAACAAGGCCCTTCAAGGTCAGCAAGGCCTGATGGCAGCTGATCCAGAGAGAGCAAGTGTGCGCCTGGACACACACTTAATAGGCCAACCCACCCGCCCCGGCCCCAGTCCCTGGTCCAGGGAGAAATTAAATATTTACCTTCCTAGGAAAAGGCGGTCTGGCGGCATAGTGGGTTATGTGTTGGGCTGCTATGGCAATGTTGGCAGTCCAAAACCACCAGCCACTCTGCTGGAGAAAAAGGGAGGCTTTCTTCTCTCTTAAAGATTCACAGTCTTGGAAACACACAGGGGTACAAGGGCAGTTTCACCCTGTCCTACAGGGTCCGCTATGAGTCAGAATCTATCAATGGTAGTGAATTTGGTTGGTTTGGCAGAAAGGGCCGATGCCCTGCCGGGCTGCTGCTCCCACCTCAGACCAGCGTTGGGCTCTCTGGGGTCCGCCACGCCACTCCACACCCTGCTGAGTACAGATGGCAGGTGGAGGTGAAGGAGACTCTCCCCTGGGGGAGTCAACCGTTCCCAGGGTGGTGGTGGGAATTAAGGCAGGGGGTTTAGCACAGAGAAACGCCTGACCGACTCATCCCAACATA